GGAGGAGGAGCTGGGAAGGGGGCTCGAGGGCGGGGTGTGGCGGCCGGGGGAAGCCCTGAGGGGGAGGGGCGATGGTTTTTGAAGTAGGGTTTTGGGGAGAGGAAGCAAGAGCCGTTTCCTGCCTTCAGCAAAGACCCTCCTCGGAGGGCCTCCCCCACCGGTTGCCCAATAGTGACACTCACCTCCGCCCCTCGCCCCTCGGCTGGCTCCTATTTCACCAGCTCCTGCAGTGACAGCCGGAGGGCTCAGGAGATGACGTTCCCGGCTCCCCACCCAGGTCTTCCACTGTCCACCCTCTCCCCAGAGAATCGATTGATTCCTGACGTCCCCAGGCAAGGGCACTGGGGGGTGGGGAGCACTGGTGGGCTGGGCCTGGTGCAGAGACCCGCCAGGTGAGGGTCTCTGGGGTGCCGCTGATTTCTGGAGCTGACCAGAGCCTGCGGAAGTGGCTTCAGGGCCTTGGCCTTGGCCTTCAAAGATCTCTTGGCTTTCTGAAACCCATCTTCCTTCATTCCCTTTACCTGTACCTGGGGACATCACCTTTGGAGCTCTTGGGGATGGCTGATGGGGAGAGGCTGGGCAGAGCCAAGGCCCAGGGGGCAGCTGTCGGGAGAAGAATGTGAACAAGGATGTGTTTTCTCCTTAGGGCGTGTGGCCTGGTTCCCAGGAGGAGCTACCCTGGGTTGCCATGAGAGAGACCTTTGAGGCCCTCAGCTCTCTGGGTGAGCCAGCAGCACTCAAGGAACGTGGGTGGGCGGAAGGCAGGATTCAGCAGCACCCTAGGCCTGCTGCTTCCCTACCTGCTGTCCTCAGGAGATGGCAACCCTGAGACCCCAGAGACAACCCCCCCCCCCGGCCCCCGGAGCCTGTAGGGCAGCCTCAGCTCCGTCAGGGTCTATTTCCATGCCTGGGCCTGTGGAGGGTGTGCGGGATTGCATGTGCACATGCGCACACGCGGACTCCCAGAGCCCCCGGTTGTTTAAATCTAGTCTCTTCCTTCACCTGCCCTTGACTCAGTGCAAAGGGGCTGAGGTGGATACCTGGCCAGGCTGCTGGGGAGCCTGGCTCTCCCCTGTCATGCTGGCTAGAGACCCTTCCTTCCTGAGCCAAGTTGAAGAAAGTCCCTTAGCTGTTTTTGGGAAGGGGGAGAGCCCCTCCCTTTGATCACCTGTACTAGACGCTTTACTTGGTCCCATCCTTCCGCCTATAACAGGATTCTCTGTGGGACAGCCGGAGATGGCCCCCCAGAGTGAGCCTGGGGAAGGGTCCCATAATAACCAGGAACAGATGTCCCCTTCCAGGGAAGACAGCATGCTGGGCACATGCTCTGGTAAGTCGGTGGGGACTATGAGCAGTGGCTCGGGGTGGGATCTACCTTTTCCTTCCTCATCAAGTATTTGTTGAGCACCTGTTAAGTGCCAGGGTGCTATTCTCCATATTTGGAATACCTCAGTGACCAAACAGGTAAAGATCCCTGCCTTCCAAGAGCTTAATCTTAGTGAGGGCAGAAAGTCAGCAAACAACAAATATAAAAACAAATGTACTTATAAACTGTGTCAGAAGGGGATATGTGCTATGGGGTAGGGCCAGGGATAAAACAGGGTGAGGGGGCCTGCGGGATTAAATCGTGTGACTGTGAGAGTGGGCCCCACTGGGAAGGTAAGATTTGAGCAAGATTTGGAAGAGGTGAGGAAGGTGGCCAAGTAGCCCCCATGTCTGGCTTCTTGACATTCTGATCTTGTGCAATGATTTGCCTGGAACTTGGGTCCCTCTGGTGGCTGGGGGGTCTGCAGCCCCCCTCCCAGGAGTCTCATGCAAGTCCCAGGGCAGGGACCTTTCCTTGCTTCCACTACCTCCCACACATATTCCAGAAGCTCCTCACAGTGGTGGCTCTTGCAACCCCACAGCCTTAGCTTGCAGCTGCTCCTGCTTGAAGGAGCCTGAGGCTGCCCAGGGGCAGCTGGGAATTCAGTCCCTGCAGGTATGATGTGGGACACAATCCTGACAGTGGGGCTGGGACTAGGGTTGCAAAAGCCCCTGCTTGATGGCACTAGTGGGGACCTCTGTCCACCTGGGATGTCTTTGGAGTCCTTGAGGTAGCCTGTTCTCTGCCAGGGCACGAGGCTCCCAGACCAGTGGAAGGTGCCCACACTGAAGAAGCTCAAGCCCCCTGCAGAGGAGGCCAGGTGTGCACGCCACAGAAGGCCGAGCCCATGGGCTCCTGCCCAGGTAAGTCCACCCATCTCTCCAGCCCACCGGGGGCCCAGGCAGAGGGGACAGGGGCCTTGTCAACTCCCGGCTGCTATCTGATGAGGCAGCCCCTTTAGGCCCTTCCAACCTAAGATGAATCAGTCCCTGGCACCTTTCTGAGGTAGAGCTTCAGCCCCCAGAGGGAACTCCACATCACAGATGACAGGACTCAGAGAGGCTGGTCCCCCAGAGAAACCGACCCTCACCTCAACATCCTCTAGAAGTCTGAACTTCTCCTCCTACCGCCCCCTGTCTATGTGTGTACTTGTTGACCACTTGAATTACCCTTCCCACGAAGACCTACCTTTTCATTGCCTCCCCCACCCCAAACAAGCTCCCTCCCCCAAATCTCCACTGGCCTCGGTGGTCCCCAAAGGCTCCAAATCTGTGGTACTGGACTCATCTCCCCAACACCCAGTTTGATCGAACAGTTGATTTCTCTCTCCACAATGCTGCCATCACTCCCTTCCACTCCCACCACACTGAGCACCTTCTGCCTGACCGATGTCGCTTATTCCAGGGGCTTATTTAGGGCCTGCTAGGTCCAGGCTGCTTTAGGTAGAAGGGAACACAGAGGTTGCTCCTAGGCTGACACAGACCCGGTTTGAATCCTTCCTCCCCATTTCCTAGCCCAGTGACTTTAGACAGGCTCCTTCACCTCCAGGAGCTTGTTTGTTCACCTGTGAGCAAGGAGAAGAGTCACTTCATGGTTCCTGGGAAGCTTTGTGACAGTGGATGGACCGTGTGTCATCTGTGGTTGGCACTCAATAAATGGTGGCAGTCCTCGTTTGTATTAGACACATACAGAAATGGAACACAAGACATCTGCTTTTCAGGAGCTGAAATCTAGCTGAGATGACATTAATATGAACTAGAGTAAGGAATTAAAAGAACAAGTAACAATAAAGCCACATTGCAAGGCAGTGTAACGGTGTTAACAGTAAGTGCTCTAGGTAAGAGAGCCTCAGGCATTGGATTTGTCAAAGATTTTGGTGATCTCTGCTACATTTTGAGGGAGGTGTAGACATCAGCTCTGATGGTGGGGTGGAGGATGAGAAAACATTCTAGGCTGAGAAGAGACCTTAATACAGAAAAGTTGACGTGTGGTTGGGGTTAGAGAAGACCAGCTTGGCTGCGGAGGAGCATTTATGCCTGGACATAGTAAGACAGTTGGACTAGGTTGGCATGAACCTCAGATGCAGCTCGAACTTACTTTATCCTGTAAATAACAGGGAGCTATTGATGGTTCTTGAGTAGAAGAGTGGCATAATGAAAACGAAAGCGGTATCACAATAGGATAAATAGTTGTTTGGAACTGATGGATCGGTGAAAGAAACTGGGAGTAAGTCTAACTGTGACAGCCCATGTGCGCGCATGTCCACTAGTGCTCAGGCTATTACAGATTTTCAGAGCCAGACAGGACTCAGATCATCTGGTTCAATGGTTCTTAAACAAGAATGACTTTGGGAGCTTTAAAGAAAGAGAACAGATTCATGCACCCTGCTCCCATAGATGCATTTGGTAAAAGTCTCCAGGAGATTATGATGTGGCACCATGTTTAGGAACCATGAACTAACACAACCCTTATACCTAAGCAAACTAACACAGTGAGCTCAGAGCGGTTACAGAGGTAAGTTAACCAAGGTCACACTACTGGCTAGTGGCAGAGGAGAACCCAAGTGGATGCTCCCAGTCTGGGCCCTGGGCTCCTTTCTCTTGGCTGGACCCCTGCAGTGCCCAAGAGAGGCAAAGGGCCAGTGGGACCCACCTCAAACCTGCTCCCCCAGAGGGTGCTCCCTGCTTCTCCAGAGGTTGGCCCTGTTCACTGGTTCCCCAATTCCTGTAAACTCCCTCCTCCTCTTCCTAAACTGGGATTTCCCACCTGGCTCCAGAGGCAAGAGTGAAGGGAGTTAGGGGCCGGGGCCGGGGGGGGGGGGCGGCCTTGGAGAGGCAACTCCGTGGCCACTAGAAGGGAGTTAGAGCAGCTCAGCTGATGGGAGACTGTGGTTCCAGAAAGGGCTGGAAGCTCTGGGGCAGCTAACTACGTGAGCAGATGAACCCGGAGTGAAGTCTGAGGACTGAACTTTGAGCAACGTTTATATATATTCAGGGGGCACAAAAGTCCCCCGTGCCTTCTGCAGAGGCAGGGAAAACACTCCTCAGCCCCGCGGGAGCCTAGGAGAAAGCCCCCACGCGGGAGGAGCTGGGGGCTCTCACCAGCTTCCTGGGCTGCAAGGAACCAAGGAGGAGGACTGAACGGTGACCTTCGGATTTGGTCATTCCCGGGAAGCTTCCAGTAGAGGGGAGAGAACAAGAGCCAGACTGCGGGGCTCCAGAAGTGGTGCTCCTATTGGCAAATAAACGTGGCATAAGTAAAAGTGGGGCTTAATTGGCTCGTCTGGTTTTGACTCTTCAGGCGATGAGTGGATGATACGGAAGGTGAAGGTGGAGGAGGAGGATCAGGAGGCAGAAGAGGAAGGCGAATGGCCCCAGCATCTACCATTACTCCCCGGCCCTTTTCCCGCGCCGGACCTGGGGCCTCTGGCCGCCGCGTACAAGCTGGAGCCCGGGGCCCAGGGGGCACTGGACGGACTCGCGCTGGCCGGGTGGGCCCCGAGCTCGGAGAAGCCCTATGGCTGCGGGGAGTGCGAGCGGCGGTTCCGGGACCAGCTGACTTTGCGGCTGCACCAGAGGCTGCATCGCGGCGAGGGCCCCTGCGCCTGCCCGGACTGCGGCCGCAGCTTCGCGCAGCGCGCGCACATGCTGCTGCACCTGCGCAGCCACCTGGGCGAGCGGCCTTTCCCCTGCTCCGAGTGTGACAAGCGCTTCAGCAAGAAGGCGCACCTGACCCGCCACCTGCGCACGCACACCGGCGAGCGGCCCTACCCGTGCGCGGAGTGCGGCAAGCGCTTCAGCCAGAAGATACACCTGGGCTCGCACCAGAAGACGCACACCGGCGAGCGGCCCTTCCCCTGCACCGAGTGCGAGAAGCGCTTTCGCAAAAAGACACACCTGATCCGCCACCAGCGCATCCACACCGGCGAGAGGCCCTACCAGTGCGCGCAGTGCTCACGCAGCTTCACGCACAAGCAGCACTTGGTGCGGCACCAAAGGGTGCACGAGGCGGCCGGCCGCGCCCCATCCTCTCCCGACGCGCCCGCTTCGCCGGGTTCCCCCGCCCCGTCCCCCACCCCGTCCCCTCCCGGGCCCAAGCCTTTCTCCTGCTCCGACTGCGGCCTGAGCTTCGGCTGGAAGAAGAACCTCGCCACGCACCAGCGTCTGCACCGCGGCGAGGGGCGCCCCTTTGGGTGCGACGAGTGCGCGCTGGGCACCACGGTGGACCCCGCCGCTGCCGAGCCCTTGGCCTGCGCGCCGGGAGACACCCCGGCGACCCAGGGCGCTCCCGCCGGCGAGCGGTCCTCCTGCGCGGACTGCGGGCGCGGCTTAGCCCACGGGCAGCACCTGGCGCGGCACCGGCGGGTGCACCCGGGCGAGCGGCCCTTCGCCTGCGCGCAGTGTGGCCGCCGTTTCGGCTCGAGGCCCAATCTGGTCGCCCACTCCAGAGCCCACAGCGGCGCCAGGCCTTTCGCCTGTGCGCAGTGCGGCCGCCGCTTCAGCCGCAAGTCGCACCTGGGCCGCCACCAGGCGGTGCACACGGGCAGTCGGCCCCACGCCTGCGCCGTCTGCGCCCGCAGCTTCAGCTCCAAAACCAATCTGGTGCGCCACCAGGCCATCCACACCGGCTCCCGCCCCTTCTCCTGCCCGCAGTGCGGCAAGAGCTTCAGCCGCAAGACCCACCTGGTGCGGCACCAGCGCATCCACGGCGAAGCCGCCCACCCTGCCCCCGACGCCGACCTCCCGGCCCCAGCCTGGCCCACTCCCACAGAGGTGGCAGCGCCCCCCCTCTTCTTCTGAGCCCTGTTCTCTCCAGGCGCCTTCCTTGGCTCACTGGTTGGAGAGAACCATGCTGGGGATCTTCTGGGCGGTGAGCACGATGGCCTGCACCCCGATGGCTGTTCTTCCCTCTTTATCTTGCCGGAGAGAAAAGTCCAGAAAGGATAACCAGCTTTGACATTCTGTGACAAAGACAATGCTAAGAGTGAACCCTTGCTGGGAACAGTTCAGGCATGAGTCTCGGCAAGAATCTCACAAGAGACCCCATCAGAACGTTTGTTTTTTGGACCCTCCCACCCCCCCCCCAAGACCTGACTGGGTCAGGAGCCTTTCCAGGGGGAGTGAAAGAATGGTTACGTGTGTACTTAAAATGTCATTAAAATTAAAATCTGGAGGTTCTGGGGCTGTTACATGAGCGGGGCGGGGGGGACAGCTGACTCTTCTCATCCACTACCCCACCTGAGTCCTCCCCAGAGGACCATCCCTTCCTATCCCAGGTGAGCTAAATTTAGCCAGGCGTTGGTAATGGGCTCTACCAAATGAAAATATAATAGAGCTAATTGCTAAGCCACTATCCTGCTCCCTGCTTCTAGCTCAGACATTTGATGGAAGAAACATGAACATGCATTTCTCATAGCAGGTGTTGAGGCTGAAACTGTAGGGAATGCCGAGAAGGGCAGGGCGCCCTTTGGCCATTCCCATGGAGATGGCGTGCAACACCATGGGTTCTGGAACTCTCCCGAGGAGATCTCGGAACAGCAGCCCCACCTGCCTCCCTGCCTGGCAGCATGAGGAAGGACATAAACAGCAGATGAAGGTTGCTTTCCCCACACCATTTCCCCTACATTCTGTCTTTATGATGGATGTTTGATCCAGACGTCTCTGTAGCTGCGTGTGCCCAGCCGGTTGGCTGGCTGGCTGGCTGCCTGGCAGTGAAGGGGAGGGGAGGATGATGGGGAACATGCTGGACTTGGAGAAGGCTCAGGTCTGACCCCTCCTGTGCCTCTCATAGGACTTGGAGCAGAGCATTCATTTTCTTGCAACTCAGCTATTTCATTACCATAGATTGTTGGTTGATGAGGGCTGAGACCGTTTCCAACTCTAGCATTACCATCACCAAAAATAACCCTAGCGAACATTTATTGGGTGCCTACTGCCTGCCAAGCACTACACTAGGCACTGGGAAAGAATAGTGAGACAGACAGACTTGCAAGGAATGTCAGAAGTCCTCGGCTAGGGCGAGCCCAGAGGGCTTTGGGGGTGTGTGGTGAGGACATCCCAAATCTAGGAAAGGTCAAGGGAGGTTTGCAGGACATCTCTACCATGAGGCCTGAAGAATGAGCATGAGGATCCAGGTGAAGGGGGCGATTGGAGAAGACAGTGCATGCAGAGGTCCAAAGTCCAGCACCGCTGGCTGGCAGAGTGAGCACTGAATGAGAGACCTGAGGAGCCCAGGAAAGAGGCCGAGGAAGGGCAGACCGGGACAGCCTTCAGCACAGACCAGGGAGCTCAGACTTTGTCCAGGGGCAGCGGGAAGCCATGGAAGGGTTTGGGCAGGGCAGGAGGAGAATGATGTTGACGTGGGTGCATTTTAGAAAGATGATTGGCGACTTGCAGAGGATGGGCTGGCTGGAGGGGGCGCGGCAGGACACCTGTCCATGAGCAGTCCAGGTGACAGGTGGTGGGGACTGTGGACCGTGGGGGTGCCAGAGGAGATGGAGAGAAGTGACAGACCGAAGAGACACTTACCAGGCACGGGATAAGTTGCCCAGTGCGGAGAGGGAGAAGGGGGGTGGCGATGTGGGTGTGATTTCTGCTTGACGACTGACTACCCAACAGCAGCATTCCCCTGAGACGGGCAACACAGGAGGGGGAGCAGTCTTGCCCTGGGGGAGCAGTCTTGAATCTGCTGAGCGGGTGGAAACAGTGTGTGCCCAGCAGGAAGCAGGCCATGTGGATGCAGAGCTCTGGAGGGGGGTCTGGGCCGGGGAGAGGTCTGAGGCCCATCGACATGTTTGTCAAGCTATGGGGCAGAGGATGATCCGAGAGAAGCGAGTGCGGAGTGAGCAAAGAGAGGGCCTGGGACAGAACCCTCGGGACACTCCCATTCAGGGGATGGCGTGCAGAGAAGTCTGGAAAGATTGGGGGCGTGCGGTGCCAGAGGGTGGAAAGGGAAACCCGGAGATGCACAGCGGGGCTGAAGAAAGGCAGTGTTTCTGGATAGAGGAGGAAGTCCCCAGCTGAAGGGTGTCGAGAGACCACGTAATAAGAACTTCTGAATCCTCTGGATTGTGCAGCAAGGAGATCATTGGCAGCCTTGCTGAGACCTGCTTCTGGGGCAGTGGGGACAGAATTCAGGTTGCAACGGTGAATCACAAATGCACAGTCCCTTAGAAGGTAGAAGAAAATGAGACCAAGGTGCCGGTGGATGGCTGAGGTGGCTCAGGAGGCCCCTTTGACCGTGAGGCGAAGGAAGGAGGACACGTGGGTCTGAATGCAGGGAGTTTAACTTTTGTGGCCAAGAATGAGTAGGTGATTCCAGGTGACTGTGGCCCTGAGGCCATAAGTAGGAGCCACCGAGTTTGGCCCCAGCAGCATTTTCAATACTTGAAAATTTCCCTTGAAACTCTGGAATTTCAGCTTCTCTTGGGAAAAGTTGGAAGACACAGCGACTAGTGGCTGGAGCTGAGAGGAAGTTGGCCTCTTCAGACGTAGGGGAGGAGGTGCAGTGTGTTGGGCCGTCGGCCTGCCCTTCGGCTGTGCTCTCTGGAGTTGCCTCCCAGGCCTCCCCGGCACTGAACTTGTGATTCTGCTAAAAAAAGTAATCTTGCAGACTCTGAAAATCAAACACATGAAAGCAACATTTATGTTGGTTATACCAATGTTTATATTTCTCTAAACATTCTGGAATTCTTGTGTAAGAACAACTTTTAGGGGCGCCTGGGTGGCTCAGTTGGTTCAAGTATCTGACTCTTGATTTCAGCTCAGGTCATGACCTCAGGGTCCTGAGATTGAGCCCCCCAGTGGGCTCCATGCTGGGTGTGGAGCCTGCTTAAGATTCTTTTGCGCCCGAGGCTCCTGGATGGCTCAGTCAGTTGAGCATCTGACTCTTGGTTTTGGCGCAGGTCATGATTTCAGGGGTCATGAGATCCCCCTCTACACTCAGCAGGGAGTCTGCTCGGGATTCTCCTCCCTCTCCTCCCTCTCCTGCCCCACCCCCCGCCCCGTTCATGCAAGCATGCATGCTCTCTCTCTTTCTCAAGTAAATAAATAAATCTTAAAAAAAAAAAAAAACTACAAGATTCTCTCGCTCCCTCTTCTTCTGCCCCTCCCCCCACGCTTGCATGCTCTCTCTCTTAAAAAAAAAAAAAAAAAGAACAGCTTTTAGATCTGCAGCATGTTTGGGGAGACCTACCATGTGCCAGACATTTACAGGACTTCCCATTCTCTTGACTTTTCTTGACAAGGTGTATCTTTGAATCCTTGGAGTTTGTTGGCAAATAGTCAAGGCATTTAGTGTCAAAACAGGAGATGATGCTAAAAAATGCAATGTATCTGCGAGGGAAGACTGGAATCCCTGAGGGATGCTTCCAGGGAGGAGTGCAGAGTGGAACAGTGGTGGTCTCACGGACAATATATACCCCCCATGCCGCCCCCCATGGGAGCCAGCCCAGGTATGACCATCTTGGGAAAGCATCAACATTTTTACCTTAGAAACACATCCCAGCATGTGAAAATGCTCTGAGAAGTAAAGCACAAATGTACTATTTCTATATAGAAGACAAAACGTTTTATTAACTCATTAAAATTTATTTATTTCTCCCCAACCGTGTTCCAAACAAAGATAGATGGTAGCCACTGGTGACGAGTACTCGGTGTTCCCCCGCCCGTCTGGACCAGGCACAGAGAAACATGGAGGTGTTTAACCACACCACGTGGCCGTCAGGAGCTTACGCTGAACATGAGAGATGAATGTCAAGGAAATGCCACATAAGCATTTCTGTGGCTCTAAAGACCAGAGAGATCAGAGCAGGAGAGGAGGGCCTGAACACAGAGCTGGGCAGGTGGGGTCCAGCAACCAGGCAAGGAGGGAAGGAGAGGACAGCTCCATCCCCACCTTCCCCCCACACACCTCTCTCCCGCGTCCCTCGAAGCCCCGTGGGGTCCTCCGATCCTGCTCTCTCACAGCCGGTGACCCTCCCCCTTCTCGCCTAACTGTTTGAGATTCCCAAACTTTTCTTTTAACGTGGTAGAATCTACATTACGTGGAATTGACCATTTTAACCATTTTAAAGTATACACTTCACTGGCACTAAGTACATTCACAGTGTTATGTAAACATCACTGCTATGTTGCCAGGACCGTTTCGTCCCAAACAGAAACTCCGTCCCATTGTGTTTTATGGGATGGCACATGTCAGTAAGGTTGTCCTTGGGGTCAGGGAGCAGGCAATACAGGCCTGCAGTGTGAGTGGCGGGCTGGGGCGGCTGCCCTGGAGCCTGGCCCGCTGTCCTGGTAGCCGGGAGAAGGAGCTTCACATCCCTGTAGCTGCCAACAGGTTAGAAAACTCTCCTCCATCCCACAGATCTGAGTTCTTGCCTGTGAGGGAGATGGGGTCCGAATTCACTTACCCCTGCAGGGGTGGGTATCCAGCAGGTTTCCCTGAACTGTAATAGTTCACAGACATGACAAACACCGTAGAGGCCTGAACCCCACCAGGCATCCACCTAGCCTTTCCTTGTGGCCTAGACTTTATTAGAGTCCTCTGGCCTCTCTGTAGCCCAGCTCCACTCCATCTCAAATGGATGGGCTGGGGACCACTATCTTCTCGCTATTATTTTCCAGGATTTCTGGTGGCCATCACCACTCAGGTGATCTGTACTCACAAGAGCAAGGGACTCGGTCCTGACTGACAAACTCTCCCCCCTCCTCTAGGTTTTTTCCCGGGCCCCCACCTTCCTCCTATCCCAATCTCCTAACCTCCAGTTGATCTAACTGGGAGATCTTAGATGGAATACAGC